GATACAAATGCAGGCTGCACCAGGAGACGGGTTTGCATTGATCAAGTCGCGGTTTGCGAATCTAAAGAATATTCAGGATACCACGGGCTCTCTCCGCTTGAGCAGGCAGTACTGCCCATATTTTCGCTGCATCCTCTTGGGGATGAATGGCATGTCGGGTACCCAGAGAATGCGGCCCAACGCATTCGTGCGGCTGCTATCAAGGAATGGTTTGCAGGATATTTTCTCCCATGTTTTGTCGTCGAGGATATAATGGGGTTGCAGCTCGGATGCCTCGTCTCCCGGGAAGTAAGAGTCTACCAGAAATCTGCATTGCGAGATATCGGTCTGCCGAATGTTAGTCCTCGGGCATCCGTAGAAGCCTATTCGAAGCTTGCCCAGGAATGTTACTCACGTATTTTGAAGGATCTTCTCGGTTCATGTCATTCATGCCCGGTGGTGTGTTCCATGTTCCAGCGAATATCCCGCCCTGATCCGAGTCCACGAACTCACCAGGTAACAGCCCTCTGAACTCACTTTGGATGAATTTGGCGCGTAAACTGTCGGGAAGGAAAAACGACGAAGGGAGACGATACCATTCTTTCCCAACACAAACAAAATCTCCTGTTCCGGCAAGTTTCGGGGTTTCAAGATCGCTGAAAACCTTGAGCGGAGCATTGTATGCGGTCATCATGCCCATGATCCTCAACATCCCGACGTTGAGAGCGAACAGCACAACACTGATAATCACGGCAAATTTCAACTTGATAGGAAGCCGGCCGATCAACTCCCGACGGTCGTTTGAGCCTAGGTAGACAAGCAGTATCTGCAAACCGATTGCCGCATTCAATGCAAGGAAAGGATACGCCGGATACATGAATCTCTCTTCCTTGTGCGGCTGCAAGGTAAAAATGCCAAGCCAGAGGTAAAATGGCAGTAGATATGTTATTGACCTGAGCAAGGTTTGCTTGGACGTTTGGTGGGAGCGGAATAGCGCCTGCAGGAGGAGCAGAGGACCGCTGGAGAGAGCCAATACAAACCAAATGTTGAAGTTGAGCAATAGGTTCCGCACATAAAACGTCCATGGCTCCGTACCAAAGATATCAGGTCCTTTTTTCGGCACCCACCGGAAAACGTGTATGCCACGATGGTTCCACGGACGACTATCTACTTACGGATGAAAGAGGCTATCAACGGGCAATTTCAAGGAGCTATTCCATGGTCAGCATGTGCGAATCATCAAGAGAATTTCCTTTTTTTCCCCTCACCAGAACGCCCAGACACCGAACGATCCTGTCGAAGATCCTAAAAAGGACTGGCCGGATCTCCTGGAATATAGTAGCGAGAATGAGTTCTTCCAGTACAAACGGTACCACCAAAGCTCCGGCAAACGGCCATCCGAGCAACGCACCAACCCCAAACCATAGGATACCTTTGGCGGTTTGAAGGCCCTGTCGCGAATCTAAAAACGCCGACAGCCCGAGCATGCCTGTGTACATCGCAAAGCTGGATGGCAGGAGAGCAGTCGAGGCATGGAACATGCCAGGGCTGAACAAAATTATCATGAGAAATAGCACACCAATTCTAGGGTTCAGCGTGCGTGAGATCACGGAGAACAGTCTGGTCTCACACATCGTGCAAACCAAAGCTAGCGCCATGCGGACGAAGTAGAACTGGGCTGACTTGGTACGCGTAAATATGATGGATATTTTGGCAACGACGGCATGGAGAGCAACGTATAGCCAGCTGCGGATGGAGTATTCTGGAGAGTATTCCCAAGTTTGAAGCCCGTACCCGTGCGTTAGGTAGTGAGTCGGCTCCCAGTAGTTGAAGACTTCATCGCAATCCTGGATCGGGGCCAACGCGGCTGCGAGGACGTTCGAGAATAGACACAGGTAAAAGACAACGTTCAGCGGAAGAAAGAAAGGCTGCGGAGCTGGTCTGTATAAATCATATTGACGGTTAGCTGCACTGTCTCTCGGTTCATCGCGCAGGAAGGACACGGCGCACTTTGGGCTTGTTGGTGAAGCTGCGGAGGCTCCCTTGTTAGGGGCCCGCACATTGGGAGGCATTTTGACACCCGAGCAGTAAATATCCGGGCAGGATTCAAGCGTATACACGTAGATTCTCGTCTTGATGCATCTGGATGGGGTGCAATTCGGTTGTGTTGTTGTTGGTGAAGCTCTCAGAGCTGACCTTTGTGTGGTGACCTCATCAGCGTGAAATCTTAAGCTTCGATTTATATTTTTTTCTCGCCATTTCACCAGGACTATCTTCAACGTTTCTTATTGTTAACCACCGTCTTTGGAATAATGTTTTCGAGCCGCACTTGACCTTTTTCAATCTACTTGAATTGCGAAAGTCGATTTCTTCGCAATGACGGAGACTACACCTCCAACAGCAGCGTCGCGCGACGACCGCCAGGACCCCTCTGGCAAACCACCACTCCCCGACGCTGTTGCCTCCTTGATGGAATCGGCTGATGGAGCTGCGGATGATGGTAGCAACTTTTACAATACTCCGCTCAGCGGAAGTACTCCTTTACCGCCGTCGCATATCTTCAACTTAGTCGAGAAACCTGCAGAAAAGCCTCGTCCTCAAATACCTGGGTTAAGTCTCTGCAACGAATCGAATGAACGTGAAATACAGACAGAGGAGGGACAGAACTTGGATGCTGGTGTCACGATAGCTGACTCCCTGGACCTGGTCCTCACGGCCATAGAAGCTGCTGCCAAAGAGGAATCGGAGGGGTTTCAAGGTGCAACGGCTGGGATAGACTGTGGCGCAGAGGATATAGAAATGGGCGGGACGAATCTGGATGAGAAGACAGTCGAACAAGAGGCGGACTTTTCCACTGCTGCGGAAAGTGAAACTCAAGATCAGGTATCGGCACAGCTCGTCGTAGAGGCGTCAACTTACGACGACGGCACTCCAGTCACTGGCAAAGTGCCCGTGGCCGAAAACCACCCTGAAGCAAATGGACAAAAAGAATGGGAGACCGACTCTTCGCCTTATGAGTCGTCCGATTCCTCCTCCGACTCCTCATCAGATTCAAGCGATGAGGACCCGGATTACGAGCTGTTGGATCCTGAAGAGCAGGCTAGAATTTTAATGGCTGCGGCAGGATCGGATGATGAGGATGGCAAAGACGAAAAAGCTGCCGGAAGGGCAGTGAGAACCGCTAACGAGAAGCCCCCTGAAGAAATTTTCCGAAAGCCGGACCTCGTCGTTACTCCCGATATGAAAGTCGATATGCTTGGAAGCGTTGAGACGATCGTTGACAATATCGTGTTGATCAAAGCGAACATATCCGGTGAATATCAAGTGTTGGAAACAGGCTCGGTTCTCTGCTCAGCAAACTTGGATGTTCTTGGGGTGGTATCAGATACCTTTGGAAAGGTCGAACAACCGCTCTACACCATACATTTCCCGAACCCGGACGAAGTTCAAAAGGCAGGTCTGGAAAAAGGGGTGCCGGTGTTCTACGTGGTGGATCACTCGACTTTTGTTTTTACGCAGCCGCTCAAGGGATTAAAGGGCAGTGACGCGTCGAATCTGCACGATGAGGAGATTGGAGATGATGAAGTCGAATTCTCAGACGACGAAGCGGAAGCAGAGTATAAGCGTCAACTGAAGCTCAAACGTCAACAGAAACGAGAAGGCCGATCTGAGCCTAGCAGGGGTGGCAAGCGTAGAGGTGGTCCGCCTGGCCCCTCTGGGCTGAGAAACACGGTGCTCAATTATGACGATGAGCCTCAGGACGATGGGTATAATACACTACAACGTCCAAAGGACTTGCATCAGCAGATGGGGGGTCGCGATCCGATGCAAGAAAGCCCATACCGCCCGGCTGAAAGAAGCTCGCGGGGTGGCAGAGGACGCGGAAGAGGGAGAGGATACGATCGAGGAAGAGGAGGCCGTGACAGGAATAGCGGTGCCCGACACCAGTCGCATCGAGACAGCTACCAGCAGCAGTCTGTTTCTGAGCAATCCCACCGGCAGCCTCTCCGCTCCCCGGCTGAATACTCTGCGCAACAACCGTCATATATCTCCCACCCGTCAGCCTATTCACAACCACCGCCACCCCCTCAGTCATATCCCGCAATGTCACCGCCATCCGCTCAATTCGCTTTTCAAAATTTCCCTTTCCCTCCTCAGCAACCGCCCTTTGGCTTTCCACCGCCAGGCTCTCATATTAATCCAGCTTTTTTCCCCATTCTTCTGCAGCAGCAGCAGCAGCAGCAACAGCAACATCCTCCACACCAGCAGCCTACTATATCCCCGCCAACACCGACAGTTCAGACACCAACCGACGCATTTGCAGCCGCCCAAGCTCAGATTGATCTACTAAGGCGATTGAGTGGCGGAGCGTGATGCAGTGAGACAGAAGATGGTCAAGTTTACGCTATCTTGATACTCTTGTTTCCTTGCATGTTCCGGTTTGTTGGGATCTGAAAATTTCATTGCCTTTGGAAAAGTTTGGTTTATTATCTCAGCACCAATAGTTTCATCCCACGGAATGGAGTTGGGTGGGCGGAGTGTTACCGTGATATCTAAGGAATCTTTTGGGTGTTGCATAACGCGCTTTCAGGGATAGTTAAGCTATGTTTGGTGATTGGGTTTTGATTCGTATTTTGAAAAGGAATCTCATTGCCGTTGGAGCAATGTCTATAGAGTTGATACCAAAATCTGTATATGGACCTCGTCAATAACGTTATCCTAGACACCTGGGCTATGTACGGAGTATTATATGCGCTATATTGAAACAGTTCTAACGGACCTCTTCATGTCATATTCGGCTTCATGCTCTTTGCCAACGTCCAAAAGCTCTCCATCTTAGCTCGTGTTAACATATCCTTTGCCCGCCGCATCAGTCTCGCAACCCTCGCACCAAGCCACTTGCGAAATGCTCTTGTCTTTTCTTCCCCTTCCCAGACTAATGTACATGTGTTCAGGCTTAGGTCCTTGAGTTCACCTGTCTTTTCGTCTTCCGCCGCAAGCCATGATGCCAGCGCCTCTCGGTTCCCTTCCCGGACTGCATTGGGTCCCGCGTTCTCTGTCCAGTCAATGCGATTGAGCATGAGTTTTTTGTATGCATTGATTGAGTGGTATCCACCTTCAACAATTATGAGGGTTAAACTTGGGATTCATTATGCAAATCCCAGAGAGGGTATGTTGTTCTGCATTCTTACTAATTTTGAAACGATGGCGCCCATTGGCAAGGCTGTCCACACGGTAAACAGTGACGTATATGCCCTTCAGCGCATCCTTTTCTTGTTGCTTGGCAAGCTTTTCGTGTCGTCCTTCCTTTGTCAGCTTGCGAGCTTCATTATCAGCCATGTGTTTCTCTGCGCGTTCCGCTATCTCCCGGTTTACACGAGCTTCGACGGCTGTGGGGTCTTTGACCGCCTCCTCTCCAAGAACACGCATCAGGTTCGATTTCTTGACTTTGGGTGGAGGAGCTGGCTCCAATCCTAGCCTGATTTTGGCTTGTTGTTCTTTCAGGTCCGCCATTCGTCTCTGCCGCCGTATTTTGGCTTGTTCTTTGGGAGTGAGATACATTGGTTTGGCGGGCGGAATATTTTTCTCCTGGGGAGGTTCCAAAAGGACGGGATGTTGTATATAGACAGTTATGACAGAGTCGGGAGAATCTATTTTAAGATTATTGGGATCATCAATTGCGCTGTAGTCGTTTCCATTCACAAGAGCTTCGTCCCACCATTCAATCGCAGGGGGAGCGGGAACCAGAAACGCTTTTTCAACATCTAGGTCTTCGTCTATACCGGCCTGGCGCGCTCGTTCTGCGATCCGCTTCTTCATGGCTTCCAGCTGCGCTTGTCGTCGTAAAGCAGCCGCTTGCTGAATATATTTCCCTTTTTGATTAAAAATTAGCTGACGCGAATAACGAGGACGAGCCAACGCCGTTTTTGTGCCGAGACTTGGGTCGAAATATGGGTTGTTCCTGGTTTCTTCGATCGACGGGCCCGAGAGATCCAGCTGTTTCCCTTTAGCTATAGGAATTGGGGACTCTGTTCGGCGATTCGCCATCGTTGTAGCAAACTTGGGCTGTATCGCTTGTTTGCTTCTGGCAGATCGACCATCCGGGCCTGTGTCTCCAAGAAGCGCCGGGTGCAAGCCCACGTCGAGTCCTCCCCTAGCTCTTGACAGCCCTTCATCCATTGGAGCAGGAGGTATAAGCGGTGGAGGTTGTGCTTTTAGTTGTTGGCTGGAGGCGTTGACCCTTCCTGTAGCCGCAGCGACCCGAGCTTTCATCTGCTCGATCTTGGAGAGTCCCGGACTCGCTGACGACGGCGCGGGCGACGGGGACGCTGAGGTGGCCATGGGAGCAGGACTTGCTCCCGTTTGTGCTTGAAGACGAGCCCGCACAGCTTCCGCTTTGGCTCTTGCGGCTGCGATGGCCTTCTGGATATCGATTTTCGGAGCACCTTCGCCATTGCGACTGGTAGGGGCGGGAGATCCTTGCTGGGAACGCGGCCGTTTATGAGCATTGTTTTCATCGTCGCCAACATAAGGCCGTTTCAACGACCCCCCCGGCGCATCAGCCATGATTCAACTGTGATAAACGCGGATTCCTGCCAGCTGGCTTGGTCGGAGTTGTGCTTCACGCCAGTTGGAGCGCGCGAGTTGAGCTTCTTTTTGGCGCGAAGACGATGAGTCAGCAACGCTTGGCACGAAGGTGAGCTTGAGGCGGAGAGGTGTGGCAGAAAAAAAAGATGCCCGAAACGGAAACGCGCGAGAAAGTTGCTGGCGACGAAAAGCTCACCACGCCGGGCAGCAGGGCAGAGGGCGGCGATTGAGAGCTGAGGGCTGGTTTCAAATAACAATGGCAAGCTTTACTCGGCCTGTATCTTCTACAATTAGCGGAGTGGACTTTGAAGTCCTTTCCGACAGTGATATCAAGTCGATCTCAGTGAAGCGCATCCACAATACGCCAACCCTCGATTCTTTCAATAATCCAGTTCCCGGAGGTTTATATGACCCGGCTCTTGGTGCATGGGGCGATCATGTGTATGTTGCCAGCTGATTATACCCTCCGCTCACTTGGATTGCACGCTCTCTAACAAACTATTTTCGATCTAGATGCACAACTTGCCGACTGAACGCGTGGTCTTGCGCTGGCCATCCAGGCCACGTTGAGCTACCTGTTCACGTTTATAATGTCACCTTCTTTGATCAGCTCTTTCGTCTCCTGCGAGCGCAGTGTATATACTGCCACCGATTCCGCCTGTCGAGGGTACAAATCAATGCCTATGTTTGCAAGCTGCGCCTGTTGCAGTATGGCTTGGTGGAAGAGGCCTCGATAGTCGGAACTATGGAACTCCGCAAAGGCAAAAGCAATAAGGCAGACGAGTCGGACGATAGCGATGACGAGGACGACGAGGATCTGATCGACCGGCGGAATGTTTACGTCCAAAAATGTATATCTGGCATCGCGACCGACAAAAGGAGACAAAATCATATGAAGATGGCCAAGAATCCAGCAACGGCTGAAATGAGGAGAGCTATTGTAAGGGATTTTTTGAAAGACGTTGTGAATATGAAGAAATGCGCTTCGTGCAGTGGGTGAGTCAGAAACTCGCTCAACACCATCTTTTCTGTCTATACTGACAGTACTAGGATTTCACCGCCGTATCGAAGAGATAAATACTCAAAAATCTTTCGCAAATCTTTACCACAAAAGGCCAAAGCTGCCATGGTTGCAGCTGGCTTTCAGATTCCAAACCCCCTTGTTTTGATGGAGGAAGCGAACCAACTTTCAAAAAAGCACAAGTCGATACCGAAAAAGGATAGTGCCAAGGCAGTTGATTACGATGATAATATCAGCGTTGTCACTGACACTCATGGTGCTGAGCAACAAGTATCTATGGGGAATGCGGTTTTAGCTGAAGTCGAGGAAAATAGACCATCGAGTGCGAGAGGAGAGCTGGACGATTCCCAACAGTATATACCATCGTCGGAAATCTACGCATCTATCCGTTTTTTATTCGAAAAGGAGCAGGAGATCTTGGATTTGGTCTATGATTCGCGACCTGGTTCGGCGGGGAAGTCTCATGTGAGCGCAGATATGTTTTTCATCAAGAACATTCTCGTACCGCCCAACAAATACCGTCCGGCTGCCCACCAAGGCCCAGGTCAAATCATGGAGGCTCAGCAAAATACGTCTTTTACTCGAATTCTGAAGCTATGCGACCCAGATCAACCAAATCAGCCGGGAAAGGCAAGGGGACAATAGTGAATCGGTGTCACGGATTCGAGGGTACCGCGATCTTCTTCATGCCATAGTACAACTGCAGGACGCCTTGAATAGCTTGATTGACCGTGACCGAAATCCAAACCAAGGAGCAGCAGGTATTCAGAATGAGGACGGTATCAAGCAAAGACTAGAAAAGAAGGACGGTCTTTTTAGAAAGAACATGATGGGCAAACGAGTCAACTTTGCGGCCCGTAGTGTTATTTCCCCTGATCCGAATATTGAGACCAACGAAATCGGAATTCCTCTCGTCTTCGCCAAAAAACTTACGTATCCTGAGCCAGTCACAAATCACAATTATTGGGAGCTTAAGCAGGCAGTGATAAACGGACCGGATATTTACCCTGGCGCCGCAGCCGTCGAGAACGAGCTTGGACAGGTTGTCAATCTGAAATTCAAGACCGTTGATGAACGCATTGCAATTGCAAACATGCTGCTATCACCTTCAAATTGGAAATTGAAACGTTCACGGAATAAGAAGGTCTATCGACACTTGACTACCGGAGATGTAGTGCTGATGAACCGACAGCCAACCTTGCATAAACCGTCAATTATGGGTCATCGTGCACGAGTGTTGACCGGGGAAAGGACCATTCGCATGCATTACGCCAATTGCAACACATACAACGCGGATTTTGACGGCGATGAAATGAACCTGCATTTCCCCCAGAATGAAATTGCACGGGCTGAAGCTATGCAACTCGCTGATACTGACCATCAATATCTTGTCGCCACCTCCGGGCAGCCACTTCGCGGCTTAATTCAGGACCACATTTCAATTGGAACCTGGTTCTCATCGAGAGATAGCCTTTTCGACGAAGAGGACTACCATCAGTTACTTTACAGTTGTCTTCGGCCAGAGAATTCGCACACTGTTGGCGAGAAGATCGAACTTATGCCACCTGCCATTATTAAACCTGAACCTCGATGGACCGGGAAACAGGTCATTTCCACCATCCTACAAAATGTCACTCCTGAATCTCGGGCTGGTTTGAATCTAGTAGGAAAATCATCCACGCCAGCTGATAGATGGGGGAAAGATTCTGAAGAAGGGCAGGTAATTTTCAAAGATGGAGAATTGCTCTGCGGTATATTAGATAAAGCCCAGCTTGGTTCAAGTCCTGGCGGCCTAATTCATTCAGTTCACGAGGTCTATGGCCATATTGTTGCTGGAAAGCTGATAGGAATCTTGGGACGTTTGCTCACTAGGTTCTTGCAGATGAGGGCTTTCAGCTGCGGTATGGACGACCTTCGACTCACAAAACAAGGAGATGAAGATAGGAAAAACCAACTTAAAGCGGGCGATAACCTCGGGCACGAAGTTGCTCTCAAATATGTCCTCTTGGATGAAAGCCCGATCGAGGACAAGGACGCGGAGTTGCAACGGCGACTCGAAGAGGTACTTCGCGATGACGACAAACAGGCTGGTTTGGATAGCATGTTCAACTCCAGAACAGTCAAGCTTTCATCGGATATCACATCCGCATGCCTACCCCGTGGCCTTGAGAAACCTTTCCCGTGGAACCAAATGCAGACTATGACTGTCTCCAGAGCTAAAGGTTCAATGGTTAATGCGAATTTGATTTCCTGTAATTTGGGCCAGCAGGTTTTGGAAGGTCGCAGAGTGCCAGTTATGATCAGTGGAAAGACACTGCCGTCTTTCCGGCCGTATGAAACCAAGCTTATTGCGGGCGGCTACGTCTCGGGTCGCTTCCTTACTGGCATCAAACCTCAGGAGTATTATTTCCACGCCATGGCTGGTCGTGAGGGTCTCATCGACACTGCTGTTAAGACATCAAGATCTGGATACCTTCAGCGATGCTTGATCAAAGGTATGGAAGGTTTAAGGGCAGAGTATGATAACTCAGTACGGGATACGACAGACGGAACATTAGTCCAGTTCCTTTATGGAGAGGACGGTTTGGATATCACGAAACAGAAGCACCTTCAAGATTTCAGCTTCCTGGCGCAAAATTATTTCTCGATCTATTCGCAAGTCAATGGCATGAACGAATTCAACAAGGTCAATAGCGAGGTTGCCTCTAAATGGAATAAGAGTGCGATGAAAAAGGTCAAAAAGACGGGCCAATTCGATGCTAAGGACCCGGTATTGGCTCATTATCACCCAGGTGCCAACTTCGGAAGCACGTCTGAGTCTTTTGCTGTTGCACTCAAGGAGGTAAATCTAATGGTTTCCGATTGTCTGAAATGCTGCTAACTTTGACTGGTCTAGTACGAAAAAGCAAATCCGGATAAGCTCTTGAGAGATAAAGGCCAAGGCATCGATGGAATCGCTAAGAAGGATTTCGAACATATCATGAATTTGAAATATATGCGTGCCGTGGTTGATCCTGGAGAAGCCGTTGGGATCGTTGCCGGACAGTCTGTCGGGGAACCATCAACCCAGATGACACTGAACACTTTCCATTTGGCAGGTCACTCTGCAAAAAACGTTACGCTTGGTATCCCTCGGTTGAGAGAAATTGTTATGACAGCCAGTGCTCAAATATCGACACCTACAATGTCCGCTAATTTCCACGGTCAAGTCTCTGAAAAGGATAGAGAGTTATTCGCCAAGGGCATTAGCAGACTTACTCTTGCGGAGGTTATTGATAAGCTCTCAGTACACGAACGCGTTCTAACCCAGGGCAAAGTGAAGGCGAAAATTTATGATATCCACATAGATTTGTTTTCCCCTGAAGAATACACCCAAGAATATGCCATCAAAGTTGGAGATGTGCTCGAAACACTGGAAAAGAGATTTGTACCAAAGCTGTTGAAGATGACAACAGCAGAGTTGAAGAAACGAACCAGCGAAAAGTCACTGTCCAAGTTTTCCGCTGCGCAACCGGAAATTGGGGCGTCTGTTGGGGTGGTGGAAGAAGGTCCACGGCACGGTGAAGGGAGAGAGGATGCTGATGGAGATGATGAAGATGAAGATCCGGACGATGCCAAGAGGGCAAGGTCGTCACAGAACAGGTCGAACCAAGTCTCGTACGAAGCCCCTGATGAGGACGACCAGGATGTTATTCGACGACAAGATACCCCGGAACCGGAATCCGACGAAGATGAAGATGAGAAAAGTAAGGAAAGGCAGCAGCGACGCGAAAAGCCAGGCGATGAAGATGTCGAGATGAGAGATGCTTCTGACTCAGAAGACGACTCCAAAGAGCGAGAGGAATTTCTCCGAGACAAACATGCCGAAGTGACCAGGTTTAAGTTCAATCCTAAAAAGGGTACATCGTGTGTTATCCAGCTTCAGTACGATGTCTCGACACCCAAACTCCTCCTTCTACCTCTCGTAGAGAGCGCTGCTCGTGCAGCAGTTATTCAGTTCATCCCGGGCCTCGGTTCCTGTACTTATGTGCCAGAGGAAACAAAAGTACCAGCCCACGTCCTCACGGACGGAGTCAATCTTCTCGCCATGCGTGATTACCAACACATTATCAACCTTCACACTCTTTACAGCAACTCGATCCACCACATGCTTACATTTTACGGTGTTGAAGCCGCACGAGCAAGCATCGTTAGGGAAATGGATTCCGTGTTCAAGAGTCACAGTATCGCAGTTGACAATCGCCATTTGAACCTTATTGGCGACGTAATGACTCAAAGTGGAGGTTACCGTCCATTCAATCGTATGGGAATCGTCAAAGACAGCACATCGCCGCTGACGAAGATGAGTTTCGAAACTACTGTGCGGTTCTTACGGGATGCGGTTTTGGAACGCGATTGGGACAATCTTGCTGCACCAAGCAGTAGGATTGTTATGGGGAGGGTAAGCACGGTTGGTACTGGATCGTTCGATGTTCTTGCACCAGTTGGATAAGCGATGATGGGGAGTTAGACTATTCAGTATATCATTTTTTGTTGAACGATTGAAGCTATATCACTTGTATGATGGATGTCAAAATACTCTCTGGATAGAAAAAATAAATAGTCGTCTTAATATCGGTTAACCCAAGCTCGGTTCTATTCCCATTAAAACGCCCCAAGTAGTCCGCCCGTGAGGTATTTTGATATCTAAAATTTTCAAAAAACGCCGTCCAGGATCGTATGCTCATGTACACATCACTTCAACCAGCCTATTCGGCATCCATCATAATTAGATCCTCGTCCATAACATCATCGTACATTTCCATATCCCCATTCCCGACATGGGCACCATTAGTAGCAGCCAGCATATTTTGATGCTGCTGTGCCTCCTGATCCCTTTTCGCTGCTTCACCTTTTTGTTTAGCTACATGGCGTTCCAGATCAGCCAAACTCCACGTGGAGATCCCTTCCTGGTCTTTATTTTTGAACGGCTGTGCCATGGTCCGAAGAAAGTTTTTAGCTGTCGCCACGGCCATATCTGTACTGAGATTTGTTTCGCTTTCTAGCATATTCTGAGCAATCCATTTTGGAAGCTGGTTCCGTTTTCTTTTGGAAACGGCGGTCAGCCAGGACCATGACTCCATAATCGTCTTTTCCTCGAAGCACACGCCCAAGGCATTGTGCAGCGTGACGCATGGCGTCGAACGAGAGAAAGTCGTTTTCTCGTACCCGATAGTCTCGCGAAAAAACGTCAGGCCGAAGCTTTCAGATACGGAATTCCCTGATATTGGAAAGGAGCCCCCGATCTCTAGCATTGCATGACCATAGGTGGTGATCAAAATCATTTGCGTTCGAAAACTTTGGCGACGCGCAGATAACAAAGGGTGATTGCACCACGACCGTTGCAACAAGCGGTACGATAGGTTTCCAGCGCAAGAGACGATTCTTGCGAGTCAGGTGTTTCAACGAGAATCAGTTTATAGTTCCAGATCGAATCCAGGATCCCCATTCCCTGCCACATACTGATAATAGACTCCATATAAAGATAGGATGGGAAGAACACTACTATCCCATCAGGCGTGATGCGAGAAAATTCCAGAAGCAAATTTCCATAGTTCCTAACAACACCAGGGTCGTTACGAATCTGGAATGAAGACGATATCTGCGCCTGATCAGAGCCACGGGTGACAATCATTGGTAAAAAGGAGCGCCGAGCCAACGTCATACTGTATGATTCTTGGAGCACAGTTGTAAATTCAAGCATTTTGGGATACATCTCGAGAGGGGAGAGTGTGCCCGACGTGATGATAACGGAACTAAACCTGTCAAAAACAGGTTTAATTGCGATCGCTGCATCTAGACAAGTGAAATGAAGGATAGGATTTGGGACCGTTGCCGCCTCTGACTCGAAAGGCTCTAGTATGAGGAGAAACCCCTTTTCGTAGGTAGCAGTGAGAGTTGCAAAGGTTGCCACCTCTTGAAGAGGTTGATAATCCTCGATGTTCATCAATTCTAACGTTCGAACGAGTGATGTGAGACGCTCTGCACAAAACCTCAATGGCTTCCGCTCAATAAAGGTCAAATCTTTCAGGTGAGCGAGGAAAGAAAGGGGGCGTCTCAGAGATCGTGTGTATCACTTTCATGCGGGTTTTCAGGTACTCGATAAAACGTTTCAGGAACGCAACAAAGTGCTCTGCTCTCCGGATATTTCTTGGCACCGCTTCTTTAAGTAAGTCATCAGGCAACGCGGGGTTGGCCATGAGTTGATCCTCCTCTCGAGCCTGGTCGGCTTCCCTCAGTCCTTCGACCAACTTTTCGTATTCCCTTTGTAATTTATCTGCGTCTGACCTTTTCATTTCATCTATTTTGCGCTCCAAATTGTTTGCACCACGACTTGCTTTTCGCAAGGAGTCTTCAGTAATATCAATGCTCAGAGCCTCGATGCAGACGTTGTCGATATTATGGGCCTCGTCAAACACTACAATGCAATCTTTTGAAAGTTCCTTTGATACTCGTTCCGCGATTTTTGGATCGAGTAGGTAATGATACGAATATATTATCACGTTGCAAAACGGCATCTTTCAGGTATTAGCGTGGTTCTTCAAGGTCCTTAAAAGTGCAAATTAGCATACCATCCGGCGCGCAGAGAAATAGGGACATTGTTTATGTTGCTCTCCATATCTAATTAGGCCATCAAGTGTATATACGCCAGGCGGAATCAGGTTACTTGGTTCTAAAAGGTCAAGATTCTACGACGGTTAGCAATGGCCCGGGCATAAGGAGACAACCGCGGACCTCATGATATATGCATAGTTCAACGTCTTCTCCTTTTTCTTTTCTTTCTTTCACAAAGCTGGCCGTGAGGCTTCGACATCGAGCATCGACGATAGCACCGCTTTTTTCTCGCCTAACGGAGGGATGGAGACAGAGATTCTTTCTGCTGGTGAGGCCCAAAGCCCTGAAATCTTCAGTGTATCCAAGCTGCTGGGCCCGATATTTCATCAATTCCCGTAGTTCTGTCAGCGCCTTTTCGATCTCGGACATTGTTCGAGAGCAATAAATTAATTTCCTGTGTTCCTGATGATGTTGTTGGTATGCGACAATCAACGACAGCAGAGAGACAGTTTTCCCAGTTCCTGACGGCATCTCCAGAACACAGTGTCCATTTGCATCCAGCGTCTTTTTGAGGTCACACATGTATGCATATTGCTCAGGATATATTCGCGGATACGGGAAAAGAACGGGCAGGTCACTAGGCGGAATGAAATCTATCAGTGATGCCTTGGTAAGCGCAGAAACAGGGAGCTATGTCTTACTCTATAAAGAACTTCATTGTAGCACCGGCGAGCACACTACAGTCTCTGTTGAAATGGTCACACTCCTAGCTGGTTGCCAGACACGATTGCTCCAGCCCGAAGCGCGTCCAAAACGACGTAAGAAATCGCCAAATCACGTGAGCCGTTGCTGCCTTTCGGTTCCGCTTTGGGCATCGGCGAAGCGTTGGAGTTCCAGCCTTCTTTGATATCAATCGACAACCGACTTATTGCTTTCGCTTTGGAATGCGTCCTCGCGAGATATGGTATGCGACAGCTACAACCTGTCAACCTCCTCTGATTTCGCCCTTTTTCGCATCTCTGGAAACACCCTCGCCCACGAAGGCTATGACGTTACCGTTCTCTACCAACCATGAGTAAGAAATTCAAGTCGCAAGCTTCAAGCAGTCGAGCTGCTTCGGGAGCTTTAGGGTCAGGAGCATTTGGTGCTTTCTCACAAGCGGGTGCAGACCAGGGAGATATCCCTTCATCGCTGTCATACATATTTGAACCGCCGGATTTGTCATTGGTATCTCAGCCCCAGGTGGTGGTTGCGTTCAAAAACCTATTGAAGAAGGACAGTACTACCAAGTCTAAAGCCCTAGAAGACCTGTTAGATTTTGTTTGTGACTCTGAATCTCAAGGGGCCAGGTTGGAAGATGGATTTTTAGATGCCTGGGTGTGTTGTCTCCATCTAAGAATAAATTAATGCAGATGACAGTTTGTTTATAATCATGCATTTGTTCAGGCTAAATTATATCCCCGCATCTCGATAGATGCATCGCGGAGGGTCCGTCAGCTTGCTCATGCCCTTCAAGGATACACAGTATCGATCACAGGAAAGCGCATCGCCCGCCATCTCCCCAAGATGATTGGGGCATGGCTCGCGGGCTTGTACGATAATGACAAGCTGGCCGTCAAGGCTGCCCAAGACTCTATCATTCGCGCGTTCCCGACGGAAGAAAAGAGGCAGACGATTTGGAAAATCTATCAGTCGCCGATCCTTGAGCTTGTGGTTGATGCCGTTGTTCAGCAAACCCCCCTCACACTCAGTGACGAACGAACAGTTAGGCCTGATGAAGCAGACGCAAAGTATGCTCGCGTGGTTGCAACAGCTTTACAGACACTCAATCGCTTGCTCGGTACTCTCAACGCTATCCCCCACAATGGTATACCATGCTAACCCGCTTATAGCTAAATCATCGGCTGAGAACCTAGAGAAAGATTCCCATCTACTTGAGACTTTGTTTGGAAGCAAGTCGCTATGGCAATTAGCGCATAGCGAAGACGCTTTTGTGAGACGGTCCTTGTACGGGTTATGCCAAACATCCGTCTCAGCAGTGGGCGACTACGTTGAATGGAAGACGCTCAGCACGCAGCTGCTGTCCAAAGCATTGGCCGCTGACCAACACGGATCGGCTTCAGATTTCTCAGAACTATTACTAAATTTGACTAAAATACGCCCAGAAATATGGAGCTCTTACTATTCGGGAAAAACTTCCGCCTCAAAAAGACTCCTCCAATATATCAAAAAAGGCTCTCAAGGCGGATCTCCGTCATTCTGGCGGAATCTCCAATACTTGCTCCAAGCTATTCCAATAGACGTTTTATGTCTCGGACCGCAGGATGCGGGCAGTATGGTACAGTCCGCCTCGTCCATTATGGAGGCGCTTCTCGAAGGCATTTCTCGTCGAGAAGAGCCGCGATTGAACCTGTTAGCCGCGTGGTCGTCATATGTCGAGACAAGCCTGTGGATTGCGGGTAAAATAGGAGACACCGACAGCCAACTAAATTTTATTCAAGGTTATATTTTCCCGGTCCTGGAGGATTACGTTTTGTCCACATCCAACCCTTCAAAATGGACGATCCACCATAGTGCCGCGGTTATTGTTTGTGCAGAATGTTTTATTTCCGTTGCGGGTCTTGCCAACGCCGATGTGATTCACCAGCTCTGGGCAAAGTTGTCCGGTTCGATTTCCGAGAGCATAAAATTATCTGCCCCCGAACAGTCGCAGAATTATGAAACCTCGCAAAATGAGATCTGCCTGCAATCTGGCCGATTATTTGGCCTCGAGGCCGAAATCTTGAACAAACTGAGCAAGCTCAAGGATTTATCGCTTGTCTCGGATATTTTCCGGGATGCGACTCGAGATATATTTCACATTGCTTTGCAAACCCTCAGGTCCCGGAAAGGGAAACCATATGGTGCCGCTTCAACCATAAAGGATGTTGTTACACAAGTGCCACAACTTATCACTGATACCGATGCTCTAGCCTCGTTTCTCGTCGAAAACCTTCCTGATCTTGTGTCGTCGCCGTCTTCCCCTGATTTAGTTTCTGCTCTCTTTGCATGCCGACAGCAACAAGAATTCGAAGTTGCCTTTGCGAAGTTGATCGACGCTTTTCGGTCCTCAGACCTAGCGGTAGATCGTCTCGCAGGGCTGAAGGTATTATTTTCTTCCGTTACCGCAGATGACTTCAGCCAGTATCATCAACTAGAGGCCCTGGTTATGGAAAAGGTAGAACAAGCACTACATGATAACAAGCAGACATGGGAAGTTATTGTGGCAGTCCTTGGAAATCCTGCCTCCTGCCCTGCAGTCTCCAGTCATGTTTTGAATCGAATAGTTGAAGGTCTGGCGATGGGAGACACAACTTTAGAAGCGCTTCACGGCCTCTCAACCATCGCGAATATGGACCCCGTCAAGTCCTATGTCACTGGCCAAGAAGGCTCAAAACTGTTATCTAAGCTTCTTTTCCTTGCAGAATCTCCTAGCGAAGAAGTCGCACAGCTGGCGGGCTCTTTGCAAGCAACGATTAGCCGTATACCAGATGCGGGCGGATCTAAACCAGCGGTGGACATTCTAAAAAGCAGTTTCGATGATGTCGGGGAAGAGTCTTTGTCGTGAGCATTCCGAAACCACCTCCATCCCATGGCCTCTTCGCTTACTACTGTCATAGGGTTGATGCTTTAGTTGCCATTGCCAAAGGGGTTTCCGAGGCAGCCTCTGAACCAAGTGGTCCAAACCTGTCCAGCCTATTTCCTAGCGAGAAACAATGGTCCAATGCTTTGGAACTATTCCTCCTGAATCCGCCACTACCTTCACTTTCCATCATGAGTCCTCTCAGCGGAGCCATGCTCAATGTAGAACGACCGTCCCACGAACTCGAGGTTTTATCATTGCCTCACGATGCAAACCAGCTACCTCTGGCCGCTCGACTAGCATCATACGTCACAAGGCTGCTCTCCTTTATCAAAGTTGAAGCCCTGGAGCCTGACTTGCAGAAAACCGTATTTTTATACGTCCCACTTGCGGCCCAACTAATCGAAGACAATATCAACGTGGAGGGTTCCACTGCAATTCTACCATTGGAATCTCCTGAAACCCGGAATGAGTTCGCAGACCTCGTTGGTGAAGCTAGGCAAAACATAAAACAGTGGATAAATGCTTCATTTTCCTCCAATTCCCCGCCAGACATCGATTCTAGCCCAGATATTGTGAACTTTTGGAAGAACCACTTAGAACAGCTACAAGGAAATACGCCGAAAGCATATCGATACGCGGAAGTGTATGCGAGAATTTTGTCAGAAAGAGACTCTTTGGGAAAGGTTGATTTTGCAGAGACTTCACTTGAATATGCCCAAAAGTTGGATAGTTCTGCAAACCCCTTCATTTTAGCTGCTGTCGTAACCGCCTTCAAAACATCTCTTGCTGGTTTGACTCTAACTACAAAGATGTGTAATCAGCTCGTTGCGCAAGCTACTGGACTTGACGAACTACCAGAAGATGAAGGTCAGTACCTCATGATCCACAAACCCAAAGGGATACTGACTCGTCTAGGGCTTCGGAAATTGATAGCTTTAAATGCCTTGCTGCAGGGGGATGGTGATTTTGTCGAAAAGATCCCTACTCAGCGACTAGTCTTCCTTGTGAAGCATCTTGTGAAATTTTTACAATCCGAAGAACCGTCGCTCAGACTGGTAACCGAAATCATGAAGGTATTTAGAGTTGTATTGCCACAGTTGAAAACAATATACGGGTCTCATTGGGCGGATATCTTTGCGGCTCTCAAGACATTGTGGGAGAGCGACAAGGGATCTGACGAGTACCTTCCGGCCTTGCATGCTTCTCTTCGTTTGTTCTCTTGTCTTAGAAAGCTTGCGTCGGATGAGAGCAATGACGATCTTGAGGATGCATGGGCAGCATCTCAGAAGAGCCATGTAGAAGCGCTCATCGGGTTGCTCTCTGAATTTGGTGAGTCGATTCTGCTTTCATGTGTGTTATTGGATCGTGCTAAGATTGCTCATTTAGATCCCTCTTTCCTCCCCGATATGCCTTGGACTATAACGATCGATATCCTCGACCGGGAAATAAAACAAATCAATGTGGATCATATTGAGGATGTGAACGGCCTTTTTGCCACGCTGACAATTCAAAGTAGAGGCGTGCAGCGCGCGGCTTATGGTGTTTTACATCGTGTTATTCCCAAGTCACAAGAGGCGATCTCTTTCAATGTTGCATTATCCGATACTGTCGCAAATCTTCCCGATGAATTGCTTTCCCTCCTTTTCGATGTGCCGACTGCGAGTAACCTGTCCGAATACCCCCTCCAGGAGGACGTCTGGATGAGCATACGCTCTTATTTACTCAGCTGGAAGACCGTTTTTGACCATTTTGCGTTTGCGGTAAGTGTTTTCACCACCCCGTACCGGCGAACTTGGCCAACTGATCACTGTTGTAGTCTCTACCCGTACAGGAAAAGTACTCTGCAAATCTCAAGGACAACAACTGTCTCGACCCACTCCTAGAATTCATGTTTGATTTTCTGCAGTTCCCGCAGGGCAAGCTTGTGGACGCCTCCAAATTCAGTGTTCGCTTGTTTGAGTTGGACGAAGCCGAATCGTTGGAGAAAGAAATCCAGTGGCTGCTCTCGCACATTTATTACCTCTGTCTGAGGTATTTACCCAATTTAACAAAGGCTTGGTGGCTTGACAGCAAGAAACGCGTGAAGGGACCAATTGAGACATGGACCCAAAAATACGTAAGTATCGTATAACATCTCCATGCATTTCGATGGACTGACAGCCTCTAGATTTCTCCTCTTGTGATAGAAGACTCGCTTCGAAACGTGAGCGAATGGTTCAGCGCCCAAGACTGGGCGGGCGAAGAGCAAGCCCTGCAGGTCAAGGTGTCATACAAAGCCGCAGAAATTGTCGCGAGTATTGAAATAGACGAAGAGTCTCCCGCCACATCCATATTGATTTCTTTACCGGCAACATACCCGCTCCTGCAGGCTACAGTGGCCGGTGGTCACCGCGTAGCCGTTGATGAAAGGAAATGGAGAAGTTGGTTGATGACCATCCAAGGCGTCATCATGTTCTCCAACGGCAACTTGGTGGATGGCTTGCTAGCCTTCCGCAGGAACGTTCAGGGCGCTCTGAAGGGGCACGGAGAGTGTGCAATTTGCTATTCGGTCATTTCGACCAATATGCAAACGCCGAATAAGAGATGTGCAACGTGCAAGAACACGTTCCATTCTGATTGCTTGTTCAGGTGGTTTAAGAGCAGCAACTCGAGCAGCTGCCCGCTGTGTAGGAATAATTTCCTTTACTCGTAAAAAGAGGTGGATATGGCTGCATTGGGGGGCCTTGTGACATCAAAGAAGCATAGCGGGTGATTAGACATTGAAATAGGAAAAGCATCGGTAGGCTAAATCATGAGTATCATTCTTTGCTGTCTTTCTTACATTGTTGTATTCTCATAGGGTGAGAGATGAGATAAGATTAGATTAGATTAGTCCGTTCGACTGCGGGGCATCAACAGTGTGTTTTGAGCTTCGTGTTGAGCTTCCCTTGCAGCTCCACGAGAGCTTTCCGTTGCTCATTACCAGCCCCAATTCTCAACTTGATCTCAGGTATTTTCCCACTTTATGTACTCTAATGTCTGCACCGCAAATTCCCAACCTCAACTCTCTTCTCAGAGGCCGTGGCGGACCTGGGAGAGGCCCTCGTCTCCGCGGACGGGGCGCCCACTCTGATCCCAACAGCCATCACGGTCGAATCTTAGCCAAGGACCGGATAGTCCAACAAACCGACGACGATGCGAGCATTTCGAGATTAAGTGCCGTTGAACTGGGATATATGAATGATCCGTTTGCGAGAATTCTCAGCGGGAACGGTGGGGCACCTGGCGGCACGGGGATAGGCGCTGGGAGGAGGTATCCGATCATAAACCGTGGTGAGTGGGCGGGCAAGTAGGGAAGGCTTGTTTCTGGGACTGGGCTGGGACTGTCTGGCTAATGTCAATGGTGGCTGGGCCCTGTAGGGACGTACGTCCGGACAACGGCTATCGATATCCTGGTCTCGCTCTTCCTCGGGTCGCATGCAGAGTCGCCGACAAAGAGGAGAAAGCGACAGGTAATATCCCTCGGCGCAGGCTCAGATACGCGCGTATTTCGACTGCTTGCCAAACAGGCAAAGTCAGGATTCAATGGGGATAACAATTTCGTCTACCATGAACTGGATTTCCCGGTAAATACGACTACAAAGATTAGAGCCATTCGAGCTTCGCCGCTGTTAACAAACGCACTTCGAGGTCCTTCCTCGGACTCAGAAAGGGCAGACATAAGAATATCGGAGCAAGGTGATGCTCTCCATTCCAAGTACCTCCATATACATCCAGTAGACCTCCGTTCCCTCTCCGCCTCGCCACCAAATGAAGCCAAATTCGAAGGCATCGATACAACTCTCCCGACACTAATAATCTCCGAATGCTGTTTGATATATCTCTCCCCATCCGATGCTTCTAACGTACTTTCCTATTTCACCAACCTATTCTCCTCCTCGCCGACAAATCCAGAGCCAACGCCTCTGGGCCTGATTCTCTATGAGCCCATACGTCCACACGACCCATTTGGCAAAACCATGATATCCAACCTTGCCGCTCGTGGCATTCAACTCCAGACATTGAATCAATATGCAACCCTGGGACTTCAAAGAGACCGCTTACGGAATGCCGGTTTCACCTCCGCCCAGGGGGCGGCAGATATTGACTTTATTTGGGAAAAGTGGATTGGCGAGGAGGAAAAAGAGAGGGTGGGAGGGCTGGAAATGTTAGATGAAATTGAAGAGTGGCGGCTGCTGGCGAGGCATTACTGTGTGGCATGGGGGTGGAGGGGAGGTGAGGATGCCGGAGAAGGGGGGAGCGAGTTTGAAGCCTGGAGGGGATTGAAAGAGGAACAAAATGAAGCAGCATAATGGGAAAGCAATATCATATTGCACATGTATGCTGTCAGGACGCGTCCAGCATCAGAGTCGACTTCGATTCGTTATATTGAAATTCACCCAGCATGCATTTGCGGCTTGTTCTCTATGGTACATACAATTCGGATTTCCCTAGACGCCATACGCTTGTTGCCCAACAGATGTTCATTAAGTGAGTAGAGTAAGGCACGTCCAGCCGATCTCAACATCGCAGTTTAGTACGACTGGACGACAAGTGAGTCTCCATCTATTCAGCCGAAGATTTTCAAGCCTCCTCACGGGCCAAAAGGTAGCCAAGGATCGGCCAACAGCTCCTTGGCCGTACTTCGTTTTTTCGGGTCCCACGTAAGCATCCTCTTGATAAAATTTATAAACATCTCCTTCTCCTCGCCGGAGACGCGGGTGACGAGCTTTTCAAAACTAAACTCATCCGGCGCTGGCTTAACGTGGGGCTCTTTTAAATCTATGAACATTATATTAGAGAGTCGCTTGCGAGGAAAACATGGGTTGGGATAGAACCCGCCTTTACCATCGTATAACTTGCCTGTTCTCTGCCCTCGACGTAAAAGGCCTTCCGGTGGCGGTCCAAGCAGAGCCGTCATGAGAGCAAGATGGTTTATCCCGTCGTATTCATTGCCAGAACACGTGTCCACGGCGGCAAAGAGCGGTTTTCCTTCAAGTAAACCATACAACTATATATCCCCAGGTGATGAGTATACGGCCGAGCATTGGATTGGGGACCAGGCATACCATCACACCCAGACTCCAGATGTCAACACTGTATGGATATCCAGCTCCAAGGATTACCTCAGGGGCACGATAAATGTCAGCCTGAATTGGGCCGTTGTTTTCGACATCTCCTCGAACAGCACAGTCAAAATCTGAGAGTTGGACATATCCAGCAGTCCCGTTAAGTTGTCCAAATTATTTTTAGTGCGATATATAACACGATCCTCATAATGCTTTTGAGGAAGTGGATATAGACGTTCCTGCAGAGCGGATCGGTGTGCAAGTGTCGGGTCTTCAAACCGAATCATGACATTGTCGGCTTTTATGTCTGTGAACAAGCATAAATTAGCCGAAGTTTTGTGGCTTAGCATTGGGAGGAATACAAACCTGTATGAATGATGTGACATTCAGAATGTAGGTAATCCAGAGCCCGTAATAACATATCTATTTGGCACTTCAAGATCTCAAGGGGTATTAGATCTTCTATAAATCTTGTCGGATAAAACCATAGAGGTTCTCGCATTGGCTCAAAAACAAGACATTGATGACTTTGAGTTGCTGTCTTTCCAGGTAGCATGAAAGAATCAAGCAATTTTCTAACAAAATTAAAGCCCCCATGTTTGGGGTTTGCAGTTGAGATATGCTTCAAGAATTGCACCTCTGCATCAACAGGTCTCTTTTTCTGAAGCGGGTGGATGCCACTAGCATTGACTTTTACAGCGACATATTTCTCCTTTAACCAGCGCCATCTATATTCCATATGGTGAGCATGGTCAGAGGACTTGCTTCTTAACAGAATAAAGCACACACTGATAAAGGTCTCGTGCAAGCCAGACAGTTGAGCCGCTGCCAATGCCAAGTTTAGTAGCTATTTGGTACCTCCGGTTGAGAACGTCTCCAAGGCGAACTGGATAAAAGCGATCTGGGTGGTAGTATAGTGATGTCTCCTCCTCGATAGGCTGAGAAAGCTCAAGCCGGGGTGCGGCAATGGTTGACGGTGGCCAGGGTTGACGTTGTAAAAGCCTCCATGGACGGGCGATGCATCGAAAGGGTGGCATTGCTTTCTAGTCATCGGTATTATCAACAGGTTAGAATAGCTCAAAGATGCCTTGGGTTAGCTGACCAGGCTTTAATTGAGCGCTTCCGATGGTTGTCCCCCAGGGACTTACAATATTCTGGGATATGCGGAAGAAGGTATGCACATATTCGGATGTTGAGTCCAAGTCTTCGACTCAAAGATTCGTTGCCGAAGATGCTCTTAACCTATTCCTCCGCGAGAATTGGTTCCTGGCTACGGAGTGGTTAGCCCGCCCAGAAACTCGCGCTCAATGGACGCCCTTCACCCACCGAAGACTGATTTCTTGAAGCCTCTCAACAAGGGCCTCCCGTCACGCGCGACGCCTCGATCACGGCTCATAACCCCATTTAAATGACATCTCTATCGGAGCATGAGCTTGATGTTGTTAAGGAGCCACGCCGTGGGCAAATCTCCGGGATTGTGGTGGGCACGGAAGATATGACAAGGGTTGGAAGAATGGAAGGCGAAAGTGATGGATTATTGCCTTGAAATTGTGGCATGGGCATTTCAGCTTTGGGATGCGAAGTTTCAAGCATGAGATCAGTCGGCCTGCCCGCTGATCGGTCTTGACGCAGAGAAGATGCTTGATTGGCAACTATATCCTGGCTGTACTGTGTGGGTGAATTGCCAGTTGTCTCTCGTCTTACTATACTGTTATATCAAGGATAATGGGGGAGCTTGAAGGTGATATAAATAATATGGATTAAATTAAGCATTAAATAAGTAGGATTAAGAGCCCCAAAAGGGTAAATCTGCTTCCAGTATTTTGAAATAGACAACATAAATCTCATGCACATCCGGAAGGTAAATTTTATACAATATATACAAGAACGGAGAAATAGCGGGTATCAGAAGGAAAAGAAGTGTATATAAAGTGCCTTGGACATGCCGTCCAAGCCAAGGGTATAAGCATCCATCATAAGCACCTAACTCGGACATGAACCTCATGTAGTTAAGAATAGGTATGTGAGAAAAAAGTAAAAGAGGTCACACTCGGAAGGTTAAATAAAACAAGGCGTACAAGCGAGTCCGAAATTAGCAAAAAAGTAGTGAAGAAGGGACTAAAATTTTTTCTTTTCTTATTCTACCACTGGTAGAAAATAGTTGGATATCGGTCGCCCTAGATTTTAGAAACTGAGAAAGATGGAAATAACCAGGAAGCTGGCGGTCAGACTCAGGGCGGAGAGGGTGGCAGCTGAGGCAGCGCCCGGCTTGGGCGTGGAGGAAACCGTTGGGGTCAGGGTGGCTGACGAGAATACGGTCGTCGCATTCGAGGCCCTAGAAACAGTAGAACTCGGATTCTCGACAAAAACGTGCGGCGAAACGGTGAGAGCCTTAGAAGTATGCGTGGTTACAAAACTAGACTTTGTGGATGTTGTCGAAGCGGATGTCGACATGGTTTCTTGCAGAGAGGAGGTTGAGCTTACGATGCTTGTAGTTGTTGGTTCGGGAGTCGACGAGGTCGGCTCCGCTGTTGTTGACGGTGGTTCAGGCACGGACGTGGTCGGTTCGGGTTCTTCGTCTTCGTCTTGTTCTTGGTCTTTGTCCTCGTCATCGTCGTTGTCAGGCTTATTGCTTCCTCCACCGCCACCTTTGCCGAAAACGACGACGTTGGCTTTGCTGCCTTTGGGAACAGTCACGACGCAGAAGGAGGCACCGCCGGCACCGCCGCTACCGCTGCCAGTGACCTCGTTGATACTATTCTTCGAAGGGTCAATTTCACAAGGAAGTCCATTGCAGCCATCACCATCACATTCGATTTTCACCCCATATGATGGGCTTTCATTGCGGAAAGGAGTTGCAGGCTCTAGATAGATGGGGTTCCAGCCAATTTTGAGGAAAGTTTGCCCTTTGTCGTCCATGTTGGCACCAGCAACATAGGCAGCCCAGTTTCCCCATGGGTTGTCGTGTGTACCCCACACACAGGCAGTCTCTGTGTCTTTCCCAGGCGGGTTAATATAGTAGCTGCAGGTATAATCAGCAAAAACACTCCTCCAACTATCATTAAAACTTACTGGGCGGCCGTGGAGCACCAATAACTGGGGTCGGGAACGGCAAGCTTCGCGGAGCTCTCAACGCTAGTTGGGATTAACATGGCTTCGTTTCCAGGGAGAACAGTCTGGCAAAATGACACAACGCCACCGGCGTTATTCTTTGCGACAACCGATCCGGACGCGTCGACACAATAGGGTTTGCTGGGGAATGGTTTGGAAACCTTTCCACTTTCATCGCAGTACAATCCACCATTCTAAGGACAAGTTAGAAAGATCGGACAAACGACAGGTAAATCTGACCGGTGGGCGCATACCATAGACATGGGATAAGAGTAGGAAGTCGCGTCAGGGTCCCACTGCGCCATAACCATACCAGCTGGGCATGCATACGGACAGTAATTACCTGGTTCGCATGGCTGATCCGGACTCATGGCCCAGCCGGCGTTTTTCTCGTTGGGTGTAACGGCAACCAGCCCAGCATCAGATGGAAACTCGCATTCTCCCCCGCGCTTTGTGATCGGTTTGGATGTACCGTGCGGCTTCTGGACCGGTGAAACGGCTGCGCGATGATGTAACTGGGGATGGTGCTTCAAGCCAAAATCACCCTGTGGGATATTTATGACTTTTCCATGGTTATGGCCATGCCCGAGGCCACGTCCGTGACCATGGCCGACAGCTTGGGCGACAGAGGCAAGCACAAGAATGAGCGTCGAAGCTCTCGAGAGAATAGAATGTGAACTCATGGGCTCCTCAACGGTTGAAGCCTGCCGCCTAGGAATCCCGAAGCACAGCCTTATACCGAAGACAGGCTCGCGCGGTGTTGACCGACTTCGACGATATGCAAGGTGGAATATTGACAAACGCTACAATCGCGAGAGGGCGATTTGACAGGCAAAGGAGGGAGTGTACGTACTCGAAAAGAGAAAGTAAGGACAGACACAAATGAAGGAATGAAGGTCCGACGAAAGGAGTGACGGGGACCCTCTGGCGATGGCACTGAAAAGGAGAGACTCAAGTTGAAACGAGCGAGCGAGGGAGTGTGAAGGAGGAAAAGAGCCCAAGATTGGGGAGAAACAGGCCAAAAAGCCCTAAGGGCGCCAGGGCTTGGCCGGCGCAAGCCACCAAGCAGCATTGCAAGCAGAGTGGCTTGTGCTTGTCCCCCGTATGCAACTGCCCCGCGTTCTCTGCATCTGCAGCAGCACGCTTCGCCGGCATGGAGTTGGGCTGGGTTACCGAGCAGAACAGTGACCAGCTCACTTCCCCCTCTGATATCAACACAGCACCGCGACAGCAATATAAAATATATATAGATTTTGCTCTGTTTCTCGGTGGCTTTTGCTCTCATCCACTGCCAAGCTTGGCACAGATGGCGCTAGACCGAGCCCGGACTAGTCGAGATCTCGGTCTGGTTTAATTTTATAGCCGGCCAAATGCGGTTAAGCGCCAGGGGTTGAGATTGAGATCGTCTTCATTCTGGCCAATCACAGCCCTGCTGCTGGCGGCTGCTCGACGGCTTGGCCCAGATGCTGAGTAAGCAACGATGCCCGTCATGAGCGCACGAAATGTAGATCTTCTGGCTCCAGAGATGAACTCCGAACTCGGTTTGACTAGCATCGTTATGGAGTAAGAATTCCACACTTTTGTGTCAGATGACATTGCACTTTCTCGATGATAATGATCTGATTCACAGAAAGGCAGATAGCAAAATTGAATATTGGCTGAGTGTATTTCGCAGCGGGGGTCTATTGTTGACTATCTTAACAGAGGGTTTGAAGTAGGCTGTTTGGGGTTCCGTTATTCTAACAAAATTGTGGCAAGGAATGTGAAATGAGCGGCCGACTCTGATTTAGAGTCCGCCGCTTCATGTTTTAATAACTCTTCGCTCCAAAACGGTTCGAATATGCTACCACGGTTTCCCAAATTTAGCGAGGAGCTCCATTGGGTCATCGCCTTGTAGCCACACGTCGAGCACTTCTCGTGATGGTATCCAAATCATCCCAACCATAGCAGCTGCATTTGCAATATTTACACCTTCCTGGCCTGCGCGAGATCGAGGTATCACAAGCATCCACTCTCTCACCAAGACCAAGTTATGAGAGTAGTCGGGTTTGCCAACACCAGTAGCAGCCAAGAGGTCTTGATAGATTGCAAAAATTTGTTCAGGCGAAATCGAGGGCGGTAGCATGCGTGCAGCATGTCGAAAAGGAATATTAGGGACTCTGCCTGATTCTGAGGGTCACTAGGAGTCTAGGTATTCGTTGACTTAAATCGGAGGCCTTACCAGTGTGAATGCCGTATAAATCCGGGAAAAGCTCGTGGGTATCCCTCCGGGGACGAGGGAGCAACTGCATATGCCGATGCGGTAAAGACCAACCGCCCTGTAATCCGCCATTGTAAATGAGCATATATGGACTGTCTAACCTGCAAAGCACATCCCATCCGGCCGCTAGATCCGCTTCGGAGAGCGGTTCAATTTGTGGCTTGTATTCATTTGTATGCAAGACAAACTGAGGTCGGACGACACAAAATTTGTTGAAACGCAACGTATGATCAGGGCCAACATGCTCGAGGACGAAGTCGGGAGGATCTCTGGCGAATGGGTTCGAAGCGTTTCTTGGTTTATCATTCTGGGCCTTTGCTTCCTTGATATCGATTTGTGACTTCTTCGTCAGACTGGGCGCAATTCGGAATTGAAGCTAGCAAAGGGTGCAAGAGTCGTTTGCTATTGTCAGTTTCCTTTTTAACGGCGGGGCTGTGATAGAGAGATTATGTTGGTCCCAAAAGAGGCCTGGTCATGCCTTTCCTTACATTATATGGTTGCGCCGAAACATGAATCGGCGGAGCATCCTTGAAGACTACACTTCCTTCTTCGACAAGTTTATCAAATTGTGGAAGTGCTCTGGCCTCTAAATCACCCATCATCTCTCTGTGGTCGATAGAAGAATGGTGCAACTGAGGCACTCTTGCTTGTTCTGAAGTTTCAGTGAGATGGAAGAGGCAACCTGAGCAAACATGCCAATACCGATGGTGTCATTACCGAGTTAGTTAGCTCTTAACTAACTAACTACGGAGTAGTTAAGTGAACTAATGAACCCAACTCACGCACCCTGTAACTAGCCGTCGAGTCTCGACTCCTCTGATGCCCCCCCAACAACCTCCTCCTCACTACGCCTCCCTGTCTGCGCTGCTTCACTGCTCAAGGCAAATGGCATCTCAACTCGCAAGATCAGCTCGACGTCTTCCTCCTCACCAAGTGGATTGTATTTGGTGGAAAAAAGGCTATTGCCATCGGGGCACCAAATGCTTCTTCCGTCATGACGCAGCTCTAGCGGGGGTGGACAAGGATAAAGACCACACTCCTCAAACAACCAAATCTCCAGAGTCAGGTAGGAGAGGTCCTTCCAGTTCCTCAAAGTATGTTGATATGGTTATAGAGCTCCAAGGTTAACCATATGATTTTGAGATCCTCCAGCGACATCTCCATCAGCGCCCTCCACTGGACCCGCTTCGTCGGAAACCCGGGAACCGTGTGCGATCTGTTTAGACACGCCAGTGACCTATGGTCTTCTTATCCATTGCGACCACGTCTTCTGCCTAGGTAACTATCGCATTCTTGTTACATCCACCTCACGCTTAAGGCGATGCTAACATTCTCTAGATTGTATCCGCAGCTGGCGCTCCTCGTCCAAGCCGGAGGAACCAGAGGATTATCCGACAGACCAAGCAGCGCTTTCAAAGACCACCAAAACCTGTCCGCTATGCAGGAAGAAGAGTGCCTTCGTGATCCCAAGCTCCATATTCCCTACTCCGCCGTCTTCTGACATTTCCGCGGCCACCAAAGACATAGCCCAGGCCAGCGGGGAGTCAGGCGCAGAAGAAAAGAAAAACCCCGTCAAGGATGAGATCATACAAGGATATCTTGAGAAACTAAAGAAAATACCATGTCGCTATTTCGAAGAAGAGTCTAAACGGTTGCGTGTTGCGGTTGCTGCTTTCGAAGCTGGAGACACAGACGTTCAGTCGCTTACCAAGCTCAAGTTTCGGCCGCGATGCGGCTTCGCAAATCAATGTCACTACGCTCACATCGATCCAGTCACGAACAAACCATATATCTTTTCTCAACTAGAAATAAAGCGGATGAAACGCAAGAGGCTCGAGGAGAGAGCTCAACAACTTAGGGCAGGCTTCCAGATTGGACATTCTGCGCACTTGGAAATGATAACGCGTGGTTTTGAAACATTCGCCTTTGAGAGGCGCGCTGCAGAAGGAGCTCATCGAGGCCCACATGATATAGCCGACCACGAGATTAATTTGCAGGACCTACATCTTGCGTTTACCATGGCGAGCCTGGATGCTTTTGGCCATCCGGAAACATGATGGGGCATTCGACTCAGATTCTGATGATCTTCCCATCTTTGATAGACCCTGACGCCAGTTTATTTATTGACCAGATATGGAGGCTGAGTGGTATTTTTGATTATATTTCAAGTTGATGCTCTTTGCAGAATCTTTTTGTGAAGCATCCGATGGCTCCGGCGGCTACGATGATTCCGGAGTGACGCCCGCCAGTGCCGCATATCTTTCAGATTGCGGGCTGACAGTCTATTATTGAATTGGCTACGGACATTGACCGCTCAACAATAGTTCGTAGTCTATCCTCCATACCCATTAACACAATTTAGGATATCGGAGATTGCTAAATTTGACTTATGAACCTATATTTCAGTTCAAGGGCGTGATTGGCGTTATGACTTCTTGGGATAAAATCATGTTTTTGAAAGGGGCGCGAATAACTACATAACTAGAGCAAGGGGCGGCCTTTTTTTGTCTTTTTTGACGATACCCGAATAATTAATTATATTAAATAGCTACCAAAACTACGAGATCTTCTCAAAACTGATGCACACCCATTCAACTAGTTAATTAGTTCGGCCCCAGCAACCGGACCGCTTCGTGCCGGATGGACGGGAATATCCGGCAAGCATGTTTCGCAACCAGCAAATGCTACTGGACGTCTAGTTTTTCACTTTTCCTTCCTCAACGGAGGCACTCATGTGCGAATCGAGTCCGTCGAAGTTTGAAAGAGTGCGGTCAATTCAGTGCTCGCATTCTCTAGCTAATGAACGCCCCAACTGGACTTTTCGCCTGGATAGGGCGTCGGGATCTAGTTACCCGTGATATGTGATCTAACTACTAGTTGAATCACCTCCTTGATACCCGCGAACTTGTGACTTGGTCAGCAATCAGATTTGCATTCATTCTCGCGACTTTCAGCATGACGCGTCGAGTGCAAGACAATACGTTATCTTCTCCAACAATCGAATTACTTTCCATTCAACCCATCCCTGCACCGTCGCTTGCACCGTTACCTCTTAAAGGTGTTGATGGACAAAATGGAGGCATTAGCCCCTCCGAAGATTCAAACAGGATACCAGGAGATGGAGCACAGCTGTCAGGTTCGTCTCAACAGCCAGCTCTCGAGGGCCTCAGGGTGTCTAAAACCAAGGGCGTGACGGTTATTATCACTCTTGCAGGCATCAGCTTCTTTAACACGATGGGTTCCGGCATTCTCATAGCTGCCCTGCCACGGATTGCTCAGGACGTCGGCATCTCTGAAGGCCTCATCCTTTGGCCTGCAGCCGTGTATGCCCTTGCCGCTGGCTGCCTCCTCCTCATCTTTGGCGCAGTCGCCGACGTGATCGGTGCCAAGTTGATGTGGGTAGTTGGGAGTTTTCTCTACGTCGCATTCACAATAGCTATTGGCGTTGCCACATCCGCGATTCAGATCATTCTCTTCCGGACCTTTCTTGGTGTGGCAATATCCATGTGCCTGCCTACTGCGGTCAGCCTTATCACCTTTACCTTTCCCAAAGGCTCATGGCGCAACACGGCGTTTGCAATGAATGGGATGGGCCAACCGCTTGGCTATGCGCTCGGACTCGTTCTTGGTGGCATTTTCACCGATACCATCGGCTGGCGGTGGGCTTATTTCATGATGGCCATCATTAATTTTTGCCTCTCCACAGCCTCCATCTGGTCATTGCCATCAGTTCATCGTCACGCGGAGAAGAAATGGACTCGAAGACTGCTCGAAGATATTGATTGGGTTGGAGCCATAATCCTAAGCGTCGCTCTCGGATTACTACTATATGTACTGGCGATGACAACATCTTCGTATCGACAAGTTGGAAGCCCACACAATATTGCTCTCCTTGCCGTCTCCGGTACCCTACTGGTGACATTTCCATGCTGGATGCACTTTCAATGCAAAAGATCAAAGCCCGCACTCATTCCAAATAGGCTTTGGCAAAATGCCTCCTTTACTTCTATATGTATATCCGTCTTTTTCTGTTGGGCGTCTCTCAACGGGATTGAATACTTTACTACCCTCTAGTATGTTCCGCCGCAATCTGTCCAGCTCTGTGAAATGGCCATCGGCCGATGAATATTAACCAGGAAGCAATGTAGTTTCCAAAAGGTCCAGGGGCTTTCAGCTCTACAAGGCTCAATACGATTCATCCCCCATGTCATCATGGGCACAGCTGTTAACATTGCAACTGCTTACCTTGTTTCCCGAGTCAAAGTGCAAACCCTTGCGGTCGGCTCTGCCATTATCACAATGGTCGCTCCAGTGCTTATGGCAACCACGCAAATCGATGAGAACTACTGGTTCTCACCTTTTTGGGCTCTGTTTCTCTCGCCTGTAAATCCAGACGGTGCGTGCTCCCTTCCCGTGGCCTAACCCCCCGAGATATGAAGACTTATATGTATCAGTTCTCTTCACCGTGTCCAATCTTGTTATTTCAGACGCCTTCCCGGCTGATATTCAGTCTTTGGCAGGCGGCGTCTTCAACGAAGTCGCACAATTTGGCAATTCTGTGGGCCTGGCTGTAACTGCTGCCATTGCTGCTTCTGTAACGGAGCACTCAGGTGCCAGAAACCACAAGGATGCGCTGCTTGAGGGATATCGGGCTGCTTTTTGGACTATCTTTGCTGGCACTAGCGCTGTGGTTATTATTACCTTCTTCGGCCTCAGAAAAGGGGGTACTGTGGGTAAAAAGGACGAATAAAGGGAATGGATCTTTTATGTAGTTACTTTCAGATAGTCCAATGCAAGCAGTGTAACTGCTCCCTACATGCCCCCTAATGTGTTCTCATTGTTCTACCAGCTTGGCACGATCATCTCAAACCGCTGCTCACAACACATTGTTTTAATCTCAGCCATCCCTGACAATACCCAGGTTATTGTGTAACTATCTCTATTGTTCTAAATATCCTGCCACTGTTCAGTTCTGTTATACCCAGTAAAAATGGCTGCTGCCTTAAGAATTGGCCAGCAAGTACAAGGGACCTTGGGAACCTATTCTATAACCAGCAAAATTCACCGTGAGGTCTGGGCAGCCAGGTAAGAGTAAATACTCTGATTTTCTTTTCTGTTCTCTGCTGGGGGGGGTGATTGTCTGATTGATTCACCGCGGTCCCAACCTGCAGGACTACGGCAACCAAATATATTTTG